TCATTCATTCATTAATTCATTCATAGTTTGCCCACAAAATCACTTGAAACCAAAAGTGTTAAGTATCTGTTTTCAGCTTCCCAGTCTTCCCTTATTCCCCTAAAAGCCTTCTAGTAAATCAAGATCTGCCTCTTGTATCTGATCATAAAAGGAACCAAATCACAGCTCTAGATAAAATTTTTATTCACCACATTTGGGCAGTTATATATATGAATATTGTTTTAGAGATAAAGTGTTTTCACATCTAAGAGTTATGAAAATTGGTCTTAGTTATATTTCTAGCTAACTGTGTGACCTTGGAAGCCTTTATTTATCTCACTAAGCTTTCCTCATTGATAAAATGAAGTTGAACTTATCTTTGATGATTTCTAATGTCTTTTCCAAATAAGTAATTGGAGAGAGAGAGAGAGAGAGAGAGAGAGAGAGAGAGAGAGAGAGAGAAAGAAAGAAAGAAATAGCATCTAACCCCTCTGCAGGGACTTCCATAATAAGGAATTTCCTATAAATGCATATCAGAAGTTGCTCTGAAACTTTCTTAGAGAGTAGCCTTCAGAATTGAGTAAGTGAGTTGCACATACTCACACAGTGAGTATGTTCCAGAAAGGTGACTGGAAGCCAGGGACCAGTGCTTCTGAATACAAGGTCAGCTGCCTCTCAAGGCACTGACTATGATAAATACATACATACACACATATATCATACATATACATACATGCATATATCTGTAATATATGCATGCATATATGCACGTAGTACAGGTTATTTCTGAGGATAAGGTTGTTTTGGGGCTTGTTTCAAAGTTATCCCTGACACTTGCAGGAATCAGGAAAGGCCTTCTATAGGAGGTAACACTTGTGCTGGACTTGGAATAAATCGGGAGACTCTGAGAAGAAGGAGTATGTTACAGGTATGAAGGAGAGCCTGTGCAAAGGAACAGCTATGGAAAATAGAATACTATTGTGTATAAGGAGTTGCTTTGTTTGAGGAACAGTTGTGTATGAGGTCGGTTTGTCTGTATGGCAGAGTGTAGAAAGGGATTAAAACACCCCTAGTCTGGAAAGGGAAGCTGGAACCAAACTGTGAAGAACTTTAAATTTTAAATAGAAAAGTTTGTATTTATCTTAGAGGCAATGGGGGACTTCTGGAGGTTTTGAAGGTGAGTGCATGGTCCAAAGTGGAATTTAGGAAGAGAATAAGAGAGTAAGCATGATATAAAAGGAGCAAAGACCAGATGAAATCTTACCTCTACCATCAGGTCCTGCCTCAGACATTTAGTACAATGCCCACCAGCCTTTCATATGAATAAATGAATGAACAAATGACTGAATAATAATGAAAAAAAAAGTTCTTGCTGTTTGCCATGCACTATGCTAAGGACTAAGGATACAAGGGCAAAAGCAGAGAGTGTCCTTGCCAACAGGGAGTCTACATTTTTGTTATTCTTCCTATTAAAGAGTTCTCAAGTTTCCAAATCTTTCTGTCTAAACCCTGCCTATAGTATTCAGAGAAGCATTCTAATTGTAGTGGCTACCTGGTAGAGTAATTGGGTGCTTATCTTGAAGAGCTAAACTTAGACTGAGCTTCAAATAATTCCTAGTTATGTGACCCTGGGCAAGTCACTTAACAGCTCTCAGTCTCAGGTTCCTCAAGTGTAAAATAGGGAAGATAGTAGCACTCACCTCATAGAGTTGTTTTAAGGATCAATTAAGATAATGAATGTAAATTGCATTGCAGACCTTTCTTAAGGTGCTATATAGATGTGAACTATTATTATTTTTCTTCTTTGACCTGTGCTTTCTGTAGCTTATAATTAGCTTTGTTGGTTTAAAAATATTCTTTCATATTTTTAAAAGAAACCTTTTTCTTATTAATCAAAAAATATTCTTTTGTTTTCACATTTGGGAGAATCTGAAGAGAGAAGGAAAAATATGTGGTATGTCCTAAATAGGGAGAAAAAAAACAACAACTACAGGTTAGGAATCAGGAGAATTGAGTCCTAGTCTTGAATAAACCACTAGCAGTATGACCTGGAACAAGTCTATGACCCTCAGTTTCCTCATCTGTCAGATGGAGTTAATAATAACACAGAACAGGTTTTGTGAAAATAATCCAATTAGATTCAACAAACCTCTATTAAATCCCTTCTGGGTACAAAAGGTAATATAGTATCCACATGTTAGATACTGCTATAATATATTTATATTATAAGGTACATTAAAAGTCATTATAATTATGGGAGAGAAATAGAAAGTTGAAATGGAACTCCAAAGTAGATTACTTTTTGCCTTCTCTCCTCCCTTCTCTCTCAGTCACTTTAGAGGACTGAATATTCTGTTGAAAATCAATCTATTGACACACATTCAAAACCATTATTAAGTCATTAGAAAGAAAACATTGGACTCTCATGGGTGTCACAAAGAATGATGATTTAGAAACAAAATTAAGCCTCAGGCAGTTAATTTGATTTCTACCAGGTTAAAACAAGAAATAAAGGTTGGAGAAGGCATGAAAAGAAAGCAATTTGTGTTCCAGAAATTCATTTGTAAATAAGCTGTTTGTTTCCATGGGAAATTTGATCCAATTTCCAATGATTTCAGTGGGGTTAAAGTTCCCAGATGAGGCTAATCAAAGTTGGCCATCTAAATTGGCCCATTCAGATGGCCAGGCCATCTAAACCTAGACATTGCTAGGCCCCTGATAACATGGACGATGATACTCTCTGTCCAGATCCCATAATATTTGTCATTCCTACAAAGTCCCCTTCACTTTTTCCTTTTGGGGGCTGGACTGGGCACTGCACCCCCACCTTCTGTATCTCTTTTCCTGATAATCATGGACTTGAGCCTCTGGTTATGGATTGGATTTGGCCATTTATATCACTACAGTCTTTCTGGGAATATGAAGCATAACTGGCATGACTAGCTGCCCTGACTACTCCCTAAGGACCACTGGAACATAACAGCTACCTTTTTGTATGCAAAAGACCCCTTTTCCTTTGACCTTCTATTGCACCTAAGAACCATTAGGTCCTTCGTCTTCCCAGCAACTAAACCCTCCCATAGGTATCATCTGGGGCAGCTAGGCAGCCCAGTGGATAAAATGATGGCCCTGAAGTCAGGAAGGATCATTTTCCAAAGTTCAGTTCTGGCCTCATACACTTATTAGCTGTGTGACCCTGGCAAGTCACTTAACCCTGTTTGCCTCAGTTCCTCAACTGTAAAATGAGGTGGGAAAGGAAATGGCAAACCACTCCAGTATCTTTGCCAAAAATCCCCAAATGAGGTCACAAAGAGTCAGACAGGACTGAAACTACTGAACAACAACAAAATGTGTTATTTCCTTCAAATAGAATGGCAATTCCTTGAAAGTAGGTGCTCTCTCACTTTTGTATTTGTTTCCGAGGGCTTAGCACAGTACTTTGCATAGAGTGAATGCTTTATAAATCCTTTTTCATTCACTGATTCATTAGTTAATTTATTCATATTGTGACTGAAGCTGAGTACTAAGCTTGGGTCTTGGGGGGTGCAATGTTGATATGTAATAAAGGAGAAAAGAGAAGGAAAATTTTCTACCCTTACCTATGTTTAAGGCTGATTCTAATCAGAATTTAGAAAAAAAATCTAAGGATATATTTGTCATACTCTGCCCTTAATTTTTGAACCCTTCCCACATCTTAGCAGGGTTTAGTGCCCTCATTACCCTAAGCCCTTTACCTGATACATATGTATGTATGTGTATATATATATATATATATATGTGTACATATATACACCTATATATGTGTGTGTATATATACATATGTACACACCTGTACGTGCATGTTTATACATATATATGTATATGCATATAGGTATGTGTATACATATGTGTTTATGCATATATTTGTGCATGTGTATACACACATATGTAAAGACCTACGTGACATAAGATCTGCCAACTTTTTATAAGTTCTGTTGCTCTATTTCTAAATCCTTTAATCTTCTAAAAGATTGACCTTTCTTTGTTTATTTGATTTTGTTTTTTTTTTCCTAAAATAATTCCTATACCATCGTGAAGAAATGGGTCTATCCTGATAGTGATGGTAAAATAGGAACAACTCACACTGGTATTTTTTTTAATATATTCGTTTTTTTAAAAGTTACTTGTTTATAAGTCAGTAACTGTCTTCACCATAAAACCTTGATTAATCAGAAGCCAATTGATTATGATCCTTAGCCAAACTACTTTTCTTTTCTTTTTTCTCCTATCACTTCAGGAAAAAAATGTGAGGCAACTGTAGATTTTTGGAATGTTGCTTATACTGTTGTTGATGTGTTGGTTTTGCAAAATTCCTTTTTTATTTTTAAATCTTTGTTACAAGAGATGGCTTATTGCATGAGGAAGAGGGTAGCGTATATTCAGAAATGAAGGTGAAGAAAAAACAAAGATATCAATAAAAATAAGATCTAATAAAGGAAATTATAAGAAAATGTAATAATATCCAGGATCTATTAAAATCAAGTTCTAGAGGAAATCCTATGGTTATTGTGCCTACTGCTCAATCTCTTTCTGCTGCATCCATTATTTTCTTCATTTAAAATCTTAGACGGTGGCTAGCAATGCTAAGAATAATAATACTAAGGCTCTAAAAGATCCTTAACCATAAAGAAGAATTCAATTATGTTCATTAAATTGCCTTTAATAAGACAAAAAATCCGTTCATATAATTTTGAAAAAAACAATCAAAAACAATTTAAAAATAAGCAAAGGAGTTAAGGCCAAAATATTTTTAGGCTAACATTGCCTTATCTTAAAGTATGAATTATACACTCTGATCATTCCAATTTTCAAATTCTTCCCATGTATATGTACTCAAATCCAAAACTGAGATTACAAAACTCTCCTCACCTGTACTATCTTATCTAGTTTAGGAAATGGTAATTCTCATAACAGTTCTTTTACTGTATGTATGTCATCCACTGGGTGTGCACTCTCTGATCTATGTGATCTTTGTCTTCCAGATGGCATGCCTTTTACATGGTGGATTGGAAGAGCCAACGAAAGGCATCCCTACTGGGGAGGTTCCCTTCCTGGAGTTCAGCAATGTGCATGTGGACTGGAGGAGAGTTGTGTGGACATAAGGCACTTCTGTAATTGCGATGCAGACAAAGAAGAATGGTAAGAGGGTTATTTGCTTTTAATTCTAATTTTTGAAGGATTCGTGTCTGGGAAACTTGACATGAGATACTGCTAAAATTTAGATTCCACATCCTTAGCTTTAAAACTTCGTAAAGAATTGCCAGCTTTTGTAATTGTTTACAATTATTACTGAAGTTTACAACAAAAATAAAAATACATTGTAAAAATTAAATGTCTTTTCTTGGTATTCAGAAGCTTCCCTGTTGTGCAGTATAGCATTTGAGTATGCTTCTGTTGTAAGTATTTGGGAATATGACTTATCTCTTTGTGAATTAGATCAGCCTTCTATAGTGTGTGAAATACGGATATTGAGTTTTTATTTGTTTTTAAATTTTTAAGTAATTGATATATTTTTATCTCTATTCTTCCTTGGCCAATGACATTATCATCAGTCAGTTCTCCCCAAGCTAACTATCCATGCTAACAAAAAGAGATTCCAGCCAGTTTTGTATAATGGTAAAAATGTTTTGATTCAGGAGATCTGGTTTTAAATTTGAGCTCTCACACTAGTTGTGAGACTGTGAGTCAGTTACTTCACTGCTCTAAGCCAAAATGTCCTCATCTGTAAGATGAAGATAGTAGGTGTAATACCTACCTCTATGATTTGCTATGAGGAAAGGACTTTGTAAATCTTAATGCATTATATAATTATATGTGGTTAGTATTACACATGCAATAGAGATAACTCTTCAAAGTTCAAAAGCAAACTAATCAATATGGATATGTCCTGAAATACATGGTCAAAAATACATGAAAATTGTATAGCTCATCTTTCAGGTATTATATTTTAATATTAATACTTGATTAGTAATTCATAATGGAAAAATTTGTGTGTTGTGTCTATATGAAAAGTGACAGCATAGTAGAAATAGAATTGTTCTTCATATTAGAAACAAAATTAAAAAGTATTCAAATTCTGTCTCTCTACCGTAATAGTTATGTGGCCCTTGGCAAGTCAATTAAACTCTCATTGTCCTGGGAAAACTTTTATGATAATTAATTATAGAGAGTCTTAAATTTTGATTTGTATAGAGTCTTTAAACACCGTATATTACCCTTCACTGATGAAATCATAAGTCTTGGCCTGTCCATATGAACACTCCCTCTCAAAAAAAAAAATGTCTAGATAAGGAAGTATACTTCAGTGAAATTACCTACTTTACATATCAGCTAACCTCTAAAACATCAGTCAGGCTTCAGAATACTTTTTTAATTAAAAAAAATCAATTGAATACCCACTAATTCCTTTTTGTGACTAATTTAATTGTTAGGGAATATTCTTTATTTAAATATTCACTTTAACTTCCACTTATTTTTCATAATTCTGCTCTTTGGGCCCAATCAGAATAGTTCTAATCCTTCTTTCACAGCCTACCCTTCAAGAATTTAAAGACATTTCTCTCCTCTCTTCTCTTCCACAGGTTAAATGAATACTGTTTCTTCAACCAATACTCATAAAATGGTTTCAGGTCTTTTAACTGTTCTGGTTACCCTCCAGTATTATTTAGCACTAAATACAGTTTTCTAGATATGGTGTGATGATTATGAATTGCATCATCCATTGTGTCATTGATTCAGAATTGGAAAAGATGTTAGAGTCCATCAATGCTGTCTGTCTTATTTTAGAAATAAGAAAGCTGAGACCTAGAGAGGTTCAGTGACTTGCCCAAGGCTTCATAGGTCCTATGACTGCAGATAGAGCGCTATTTCCACATGCTGTGTTTGCTGTCCTTTTGACCTAGATAATATCCTTCTCTCAATAAGCCTAAGATCACATTAAGCTTTGTTTGTTTTTTGGCTACCATGATGTGATGGCGTTAGCTGATATTGAGGTTTTTATTTTTTTGGTTTGTTGTTTTTGGTGGTGATTTGGACCTATAATTTCATTGGTATATAGATTTGGAAAAGGGGACATCCAATAGACTAATGTATATTGGTACCTACTCTGTAATTTACAGTCTTTTTTGTCTGAAGTACTCAGAATTTGAATGTCTTGCACAGAGTCACAAAGCTTATATGTATTCATTCAGACGAGAACCTAGATCTTCTTATGGACAGTTCTCTATCCATAACACTACCCTGTTTCTTATACTGAGTTTATAATTAAGTAGAAACTTTGGTGAAATGAACATTTTCTAGTCAAACAGCCTGTGATTGATTTTTTGAGAGAATCTAAGTGCAGAACTTTATATTTAGCCCTATTAAATTTACAATTATCCCTATTAAATGTCACTGTATTAGGTTCAGCTCACAGTTCTGACCTATCAAAATCTATTTGGATCCTAATTCGATCATCCAAAGTGTTAGATATCCATCCCAGAATTGTGTCATTTGTAAAGTTGCTGAGCATGCTATCTCAGCCTTCATTCAAGTCACTGACAAAAATGTCAAACTGAACAGGAGAATGCACTTCTCCTGTTAGGAGAATAGGTCCTTCTTTATGACTTGCAGACTTTCCTCCCTCCCAAAATTCTACATTCCCATTTCCAAGTAGTATAGGATACTCATCTAGGTGCTCGGAAAATTTGCTATATTTTAAATACATTAGAAAAATCCCTTCTTGGTATCCTTGATGAAGGATAGAGAACAGGTCACTGAGTGATTATATTAATGATACTCCCTAAAAACATTTTCCATTGTAATTTTCCCTCAAATTCCAATAAGATCTCTCTCTTTTTCTGTCTCCCTCTTTGTCTCTGTCACTCTTTATCTCCCTCTCTCTTTTCTCTCTATTTCTTACTATATCTATATGTATATCTGGCTATCTACCTCAGAAAAGCTAGAAGAAAAGGAATGTTCAAATATTATTTTTCCTTAGAGGGAGTATTGTAATTCCCATATATTATCACAATTACCAGAATAATTGCTCTGATTTTTACTGATAAAATAAATCTGAAAACAGGAGTCCTTGTGCTGCTTCTTGATCAACAAAAACACTGTGTGTGTGTGTGAGAGAGAGAGAGACAGACAGACAGACACACAGACAGACAGAGAAGGAGGTGAAGGGTGTTCTCTGACAATGGCTCTCCTCGTCATAGAGAGATCAAAGTTATGAGGCCCTGGATTGGCAGCCCTTATAATAGCCCTTAATAGCTAGCTTATATATATGACATTTTAAGGTTCATAAGGTTATTATTCCCATTTTACAGATGATATAACTAAGGCAGACAGAGGTTAAAAGACTTTACCAGGGCCACACACCTATTAAATGACTAAGGCTAGATTTGAACCCAAATCTTTGTGACTCCAGGTTCAGATCTTTGTACACTATATGTATATAAGTGCTTCTATAAAGAATCATATTATATGGTTGATATTGTACAGAAGATAATTGGGCATGTGCATTTCCCATTTTATGCAGAAGTCAAGATGCCTACTTAGTTAACTTAGAAAAGGCCAGTTCTTTCACTGTTAAAGAACTAGGTCAAATTCTTCAGTATTGCCATTTTTTAGGAGAGCTGCAGTTTGATATATGTGATGATTTGTTGATGATGTGCGTGCCTGTTCTCTTAGCCACTGAGATCACCAAGGAATCCCAGCAAAGCCAAAGTGCAACAAGTGGAAAATTGCAATGGAATCACTTAGGGGAGGGGTTCTGTTTATTTTCACTTTTTTTTCCCCTTCCTTTTCTATTCAAAGAGAAAAAAATGTAGTTTGTAAATAAATTGGGAACCTGAGGAAAATTGGATTGTTATTATATTGTGGAGGGCCTTGAATATCAAGGTAAAGGAGTCTGAAGTTTATTGGGTATGTAGAAATGAGTCATTGGAGAATTATGAGCACTGGAGTGATATGAACACAACCATTTGTAAGAAAGGCTGTTCCAATAATTTTCTGAATAGTGAAATGGTGATGGGAAAGAAGAAAGGCAGAAAAAATAGTTAGGAGGTATTTGAAATATTCCAGCAATTTTGTAATGAGCTTTAACAGAAGATGATTGGTTGAGCAGACTGTAGACAGTTGCCCCAGATTCTATATTAGTTACTGGTAGAGACAGGACTAGAACCCAGGTCATCTAACTTGGTGCTCCCACATCATTTATCTTTTCTGTACTTGCAACTCTTCTAGGCATTAGCCAAATCCCCATGAAACTCAGTATCAGTAGCATAAGTGGTTTAAACCCCACATTATATAGTTCACTGCCTTCATTAACCTCCATTCAAATTATTGTTCAAAGAAAACTCCATGTGTGATGTCAATATCTCCTTACAATGTCACTTAGAGATATGGAATTGTGGAGAGGATGCAGTTTTATTTTGAGGTTATCCTTTACCAAGTTATTAATCAATCACCTAACAAGTCAGAGAAGGGAAATTGCCTTTTCCCCTTTCTTTGCTTACAGTCTACACGAATTCTCAATTCACAATATGTCCTCTAGAATAAAGCTAAATCTAGCAGAGTAACTTGTTCTAGGTGAGAAAGGAGGCCAGGGTATTCTGTTTGTAAGTCTCATTAGAGAGTTGAGGCTAAGCTCCTGCTTTTGCTATTCTGTGTTTTACTTGTCTAAGAGCAAGAAATCATCTTCTGATCTCTGGTTTCAGGGAAAAAATCCTTACAGAGGCAGCTTAAGTTCTACATAGGCTGACATGGAGTGAAATGGTTTTGTCCATTCTAGTATTTAAATCCCTGACAGAAAGGAAGCAGTCAGGCTAGGAACCTGCTGGGAAATGAACTGAGTTTGAAATGTTTATTTATTATTTATTTTTGAGGCAATGGCTTGAATGAAATAGGACCTCACTACAACTGTATTACTAACTGGTATTTTAGGGAATCTTCTTTTTAGTTTTTTATTAATTAATTTATTTTTAGTTTTCAACAATCATTTCCATGTTTGAGTTTTAAATTTTCTCCCCCTCCCTTCTTAACTCCCTCCCCAAGATGGCATGCAATCTGATATAGGCTCTACATATATATTCTTATTAAATATATTTTCACATTAGTCATGTTGTAAAGAAGAATTACAACCAATAGGAGGAACC